AAAACAAACCCAAAAAACCAGAAGTTTAATCGGAGGGCAAGAGGCAGTCTGGTCGGAAACAACTCTCTTGACACTACATGTAGGTTAAGGAAATTTGTTTAAAAGTAACAGCAATCAAAATGCACCCACATCTTCCAAGGTGCAAATTGTGCTTCCAGCTACAACAACGGAAGCTGATGATTTGACTTAGTTTGGATTCAGAAGAACACTCAACCTAAAAACCTGAAGGCTTTTTTGGCTACAAACCATATAAACACATAATATTGGACCTATAAGATAACAAAGAGCAAACAAAATCAAAACCTTCTTAGTGTGTAATTACGCATCCTACAATAAGCAGCCTAAGTAGGATGCTCTGAAGGTAAGTCAAAGTCTTTTGGAATAGAAACCTGTTAGTAGATCAGTACTTTCGCAGTTTATGGTGAACTGTTTGGTTCTCTAAACAGGCATCAGTCTTCTACTTGTTAAATTAATAGCCATTTGCTCAGGTGGCATGAGTCAGACTAGCCTCACGGACTTGGTGGGGCACAAGCCAGAGATCTGGTAAGCTTCCCTCACTCGCAGGAGACTGCAGTTAAGAAAACTTAGTAAACTTGGCGTTCATGACTCATTTCATATCGCTTGATTTCTTCCTGTGACATGATCGAGAAATTCCTGCATGCAAAAAGGCAGGGTAAAAATAGTGGATTTAAAATAGAAATATTTGTTGAGCTCTGTGTCTTGGATTCTAGAGCATGATATTTGTATTTCATGCCTTAACTACATCTAAATTGTTACGCCATGATAAGTTCACTACTGTATGGTAATCTTACAGATACGCAATTTCACTAACATCCTTTTGCCAATGAATTTAGAAGTGGAAAGGGGGTGGGGGAAAGGAGGGAACAGTTTCCCATTTAATTTCTAACAGGTATGTCCAGAACAATAACTGGTCGAAGGCATGGAGCAAAAAAAAAGCCCACCTAGTGGCAAGTACTGGGGTAAATTATTAAAATGTCACATAATAGAGCAAAGTAGCATAGATTTATTCCATTCCTATTGTATATTTTTGCTCAAAAATAAGAAGTGAAGCACAAACAACACAATCTAATCTTGGGGTGGGGGCATATTTTTTTTAATTTATTGATTTTTATAGAGAGCCAAACAAAAAAGGCAAAGGACCTCTAGAGTTGAAGTTCTGTTTATGCCACTGCCACTGATTCATAGTGCCCTTGGTTAAGTCATAAATGGAGATAACTTAAGCTGCAGGCTGTATCATACATTCCCCCAATGTATCCTGAAGCTCTGAAAGATGGTCTCAGATTACCAAACGCTGCCACTTCTGTATGAAAGTTGTCAGAGAAGTGCCTAACCTATCAACAGTTCCTGGTAAGACTCTCAACTTCTCTCTGCTTGAATTTCCTCATCTCTGCCTTAACAATATAGTTAAAGACATGAGGAAAGAGAGGAAGGGAACAAAGTGCCCAGCCCAGTAAGGTTTTATGCATCCTTTATTCCTTACAAAGTCCATAGCCTGGTGTTTCTTTAACATCTCCATTCAGTTCTGAGAGCAATTCAGTTCATGCCAGGATGGTGCTGCTGGAACCATGACTGTTAAAAAGAAAGCCAGGGCAGGATTTCTTATAGAAATCTCATTGTCTATCCTTTCATAATCTAACGTTGTGTGTATTTAGTACCTGAGGGTTGTTTCCTATGGGAAACACTAGTATCACTGGAGAAGTTATGCAAGAAAAGCCACATACACATTTTTCTCTATGAGAGTCACAACCCAATTCGTGTCCCCTTTTCACTAGTAGAACCTCAAACCTCCAGTGATGAGAAGAGAGTCACTCTGGGATGGGAGCCAGGCTTTCAGGTGGGACATACCAGCCCAGGATACACTCATTTCTACCTTTCCAGGACCTAGCAAGAACATCAAATGCGAAACTCTTCTTCCTGCTTTTGCAGAGTATGGCACAGCCTGGTCAATGCTAGGGAATCTTTTTATGTAAGGTGTGAAAACATTTGTACTGTTTTTTCACCTTCCTTAACTGTCAGGCTCTAGAACTAAGAAAAAAAGAAAAAGAAAAAAAAAAAAAAAAGAAAGAAAAAAAGGCAGGAAAAATACTGCTTGTTAAGTGAGATATTATCTGTGTTTTCTGACTCTCTTGTATGGGTGCCGGATACCGTTTGGTTAAATGTATGTCAGCTCTCTCCTCATTTCAGAACTGCAACTGCTTGCCTCATGAAATATCACTTTCAGGAGAAAAATAAAAAGTGTGAACTCTGCACTAGTCACACGGTATTTCAGTTCCTCTAGGAGCCAGCTGTGCCTGGATTCCCAGAAGCGGGAATGCCTGTGCACATGCAGGGTTTGGCTCGTTCACGCTAGTTTTATACTCTCTTGGCCCAGCTTGCCCTGCCACACCTGAGTCAGCTACAGCTGCATAAAGCACATGGCTGCAAAACACTGCTTTTGAGCTGAGAAGACTGTTTCTGCAGACCTATTTTATTTCTGGGTTAAAACAAACAAACAAACAAAAACTCCAAAGAAACCTCCCAAACTAATTTTATTTTTTAATTTTTTTTTTTTTTTAAACACAACTAAGCACCCTAGAGAACCAAATCACCTAATTCCATAGGCTCAGAGAGTAAGCTACACCTGACGGGCATTACTCACAGAGCAGGAGAAATAAATAAAAGTGATTTTCAAGTGACAGGACAATCCCACACTCCTGAAACTGCCCAACTGTCTAACTGGTTCCCAATATACAGTAAAGCTCCATCATCATGCAAGGAAGCACCCTAGAAGCATTTAGAGCCACAGAAGGAGCAGAAGAGGTGGAAAACTCCTTTCTGAATTCACTACCCTATGGGAAAGAAGTAGGTAACATCCCTGTACCTTCAAATCCTCTACTTTTGAGGTCTAGTAAGAGCTTACAAATAGCCAATATCTGTGGAACCTAATCTGACCAAGTCCTCTTTCCAGAAGGTTGAGTTCACACACAAGTCAGATCACAACAAAAGTAAATTAGCAAGATCTTTCTTTGGCCAGTTGTTCACAAACCCAGCTAACAACCCAATACAACTCACAGCCTCTGCTTATAGAAAGTACCAGATGCTTAGTGACAGGAAAAGCAGGAAGAGTTTGAAGCAGATTTTTTTTTCTGTAATCTGTTTATGTGGGTCTGCCTCTTATCAGAGGTAAAATTCCTCTTGCACTGAATTTTTTTTTTTTTTTTTTAAAGAGGACCCTTTCCATCACAGAAGAGGAGAATTCTCATCAGCATGACTTGTTAGAAAAGCTAGAGGGCACAGGAAATTAAAGTATTACAGTTGTTCAAATCCTGGAAAAAAACTTTGAGAGCTACAAATTATATATGTAGATATACACATATTATGTATAAATTTACATATACACAAGCATTCAAAATGGCAAAGGTTCTTGCAAATCTTCCCTCTTGAGGGGAGAGGCAGACTATAAGGAAGGCAAAGTCTGTGACCTTCTAGTCCGCTCCTTGACTCAAGGCAGCATCTCCCACACTGCTCCTCCCCATGTCAAAAGAAAAAAAAAAAGCAATGCTCTGCTAGCAGGTGTGGAGCTCAAATTAATACTGCTGTAAAGAACAACACAAAAGTCAGGTGTGGGTATCCAGGGGAGCCTGTGCTGCTGCAGAGGAAGAGGAGGTCAACGCTCCTGCCCTGAGAGCTCATGCAAGCAGGCAAGGTTTCTGGAGCTGGGCTCGAATCACGGCGCCTCTCACTGCTCTGAGCAGAGCCACAGTGCTGTGTCTGCCTAGAGGGTGACAACCCCACTGCTTTTTCTTCTAGGGCTGCACATGTTCCAAGCGCAGCATGTACAGGACAGGTTTTGTTTCATTTACAAAACGTTTCAGCATGCGACAAAACACCGATGCATAAGTACATCCAGTTACAATTTTAAAATTGTTACACAGGGCTGACTAGGAATGACTTCCTAAACATAACTGATTATCTTCTGTTGGCATGAAGGATTACTATATTCTTCTTTGAGACAGAAAATGTCTTTGTCAGTTTTCAGATGACACAAAAAGTTCTGGGTTCCAATTTTTGAGAAAACTCAACATTTTTAGAATGGAGGGAGAAAAAAAAAAAAAAAGAAAGAAAGAAAATTGTGTTCATATATTTCAAGAAAACCCAGTGACTTAGCCACCCACACTGTACCCAGACCTCCATGATCTCCTACAGCTGTCCTCCAGTGCCCAAGAGCTGCCTCTTAGGAAAGAGCTGCACGTATCAGCCAGGAGCAGCCTCGGTGATGGGGCTGTCTACTCCAGGCTGAACACTAAAAGTGAAACCTGAAAGCCATTAACCATTGCAGCTGCCAATGTATTAGGGAAACGAAGAAAGAGACTACTGGTCCGCTGCCAACAAAAGAGACTACTTGTCCTTTTTCAACTGTGGAGGCACAACGGTATGTATATGTATTATCCTGCTAAGCCAACTTTTTAAGGAATCAATTTTCAAGGAAGTTAAGAATAAAACCACCCATAGGAATATCAATATGGGGCAAGACTGCAAAATCATATCCACGCCACTACAGGGCAAATTTGAGAAACCTAACTTCTTAGCGGTTTAAAAATTATTCTAAATATTATCATCTTGGACAAAAACAGTTATAAGCATAAAGCCTCACATCAATCTTTTGTCCCTTTTTTTTTTTTTTTTCCTTTTTAAAAACGTTTACATGTAAAACAACGCTTTGGAACAAGTCAGATAACCCTATGTATTAAATACAGTTTGTTTGCTTTCAATTACTATTTGCCCCCTCCCACCTGGTGAACTCTGTTCTATATTTATTTTGTAACAATCAGAATTTTGCTCCCGGAAGAAAGAGAAAAAAGTGTGCACCTGACCATGCTTCAGGGATCTGCTACTACAGGTTTATTGTGAAATTACATCTATGCTTCTATATTCCCTTGACTTCTTTATTTACCCAGTTCCTTTTAAAAAAATCCATGCACTGTTGGGCTTGATATCAAGTGATATCATTAATTATATCTCAATTCCCACTCTGGCTTTAAAAAAAAGACCCAAAGCAATTTTATTGACAACAAGGAAAACATTGTACTGTGCTAGAAAGATAAGCAGGAATTTAGGATTTTCTTTGTAGAAGTATTTGTTAAGGACCTCACCTGAAACCTGGGACATATCTTGAGCCTCATCTGTTTCCATTTTCCTCAAGTTATCTGAGAAGAGAGGAAGAGCCTTAAGTTAACGCAAAATAACACACACATGCACACACACAGAGAGAAAAAAAAAACAACCAACCCCCCACACACAGAGAAGGAGAAAGAAGGGGAAAGAAAAAAAACCCTTTGCTATTTAACTATAAGATTATCTGGGAAGAATAATGTATTTTTCTTTTTATTTCCTCCCTGCATACTTGCTGGAGTATCAGACTGGCACAGACCTTGATCCTTTTAAAAACAGCATTACAAAGATTTATAAAAATATCATTACAAGCACAGGAGGACCAAATTTGTTATTTATTGTTAATTTCCTACTGCATAATAACCCAAAATGCAAACTGACTGCAACAAAATTAAGCAGAAAATTAAATGGCCCTGGGTCATTGTAGGCACAGAATTCATTCTCTTGGTTGATCCATAGTTATGTTCTTTCTAATTTACTGAGCATGCATCGATGAACCTTGAGTCAGCTTGGTGACACGCGTACAATCAGCAATCAAAAAACGAAGCAATTTGCTGAAGAATGTCTCATTTACCCAGGCAGGGCTGCATATCTGAGCAGCAACCGCCACTACCTCCATTAATAATGAATACACCTCCAGCCGCAGCAGATGGGCAGAGCAGCAGCTTCAGGCTTTGGCCCCTCGCTTGCCCAGGAGCCCTTCCTTCAGACCGCACCAGGCTGGTGCTGCGTGGGGGAGAAGTACAGCTCCCGAAAATAGCGAAACGAGCCCAGGAGGGAAAGGGAACCCGTGCCTTCCTGTTTTGCTGACAGATGGCTGGCTCCATGGCGTGGCGAGCGATACTGGGAAGCTCCTGCCCTCTGCTTGCAACACACCATCTTCCGAGGAGCCAGCAACCAGCAACCACAAGCACCAGGGAGAAGCGTGAGGAGAGTTAGCGGGGTAGAAACAAAATTCAGGTTTTCAGTCGGAAGGGGACCCTGCAGGTCCCAGCGCTCGAGCGCCGGCTGTGGACAGCTGGTGGCCCCTTGGATAACAGATGTGCTGCCCGAGCAGGTAGTCCCAGCACAACCTGGTCCCCACCTTGAAGTATGTCGTGGGCAGCTGAGGTAGCCTCAGGTGGGGAGGGGACAAAAAGCCTACAAGCTCTTTGTTCAGCCATGGTATGCTAGGTCACGTCCTTAGCTGGTGTGGCTAGCTTCACATCCTACAAAGCAGAGGAGCTGGCTCTTTGCTGTTCCTTATAACTGAGATACCTGCCCCATCAACTCTGTTTCTTGAAATTAAAGATGCATTTTCCTGAGGGTTGGAAGCAGATGAGGATGTGGCTTGAGTTCCTACAGAAAGGGTTCAAACCTTATCCCAACTGTTTTAGCTCAACTGCCGTAATTTCTTATTTTTCCCAAAAAACTCTTCAACCTGCTACCCAACAAGCTGCAGTGGGAAAGTGTAATAGCTGTGGTCATATTTATTAATTTTGTAAGTTTTATGGTCTTCCTCCCTTGCTTCTGATTGTCATCAGTACGTCTGAGATCCAATATACTGTTGCCCCCCACCTTGCAAAAGCTGGCTTCTGTCACCAAATTCATGCTCAACTTGCAAAAAGAGAACATGCAGACTGCAGGACTGCAGACAGATAGGCTGGGGAACAGATTTTGGTCCACGCAGTTTTCAAACAAAGTTTGGTATTCTCACAGAGCATTCTGCCTGTTGCACGTGTACCATAGCACTGATTAATATCCAATAATGCTCTGTCTTGCTTTATTCCGCTCTTAAACTTTAATTCCAGACAAGCAATTTGTTTAACAGCTATATATAATTCTCAGAAATGAGTACAGCCATGCAAAGCACAAAAAGCCACCTACCACTCAACAATTTGCATCAGTTCCTATGGGACTGAAGAGCTTTCAGTAGGTCCATTTTAATGAAGTAGTCAGTGGGAAATGCAGCTTCCTTTGCAGGAGGGAAAACCCTATGATGGTAGCCTGCTCAGTTACTGGAAACGTGGTGTATTTATGGCAGGTGGTATGGTACAAGTGCTTGATATAGTCCCTTATTTCTTCTGCAAGCATGAGTGAACACAAAGGAAGACAAAAAGAAATGCCTGTGCATCTATTACTGCCTTCAAGTGTCACCTGGCTACTATTAATCAGTTGATTACTACACGTTTTTCCACAGAGTACAGTGAACCCCAACCAACCAAAGAAAACACCCCGAGAAAATACCCACCAGAAGGGACCCACACTCATCAAGGGCACTTTATTCAAACTGCACCTGCCTTCTCCGTATTGCTAGGGCTTCAGGGAGCGACAAGAGGAAGAGGTGGCAAAGGAGAAAATATCCTCTATTTTCGTATTCCTGAATTTACCTGCCTTTGGCATGACAAGCGTTACGTTCAGCATTTCTGCAGTTTAAGCAGTACACTTCTCAGCTGTACTCCTTCCTGCCTCTTGCTGCCATAAGGCAGAATTCAGTTTGAAAACACTTCCCACTTCTTAAATGAAGAGGTAAACTAGAGTACAGATTGTTGGGGTTTGGGTGTGGGTTTTTTTATTGTTGGTGGTTTATTTATTTTTTTTTTTTTTTAATGGAAGTAAACTGGAGTACAGCTTGTTTGGGTTTTGTGGGGTTTTTTTGTTGTTGTTTTGTTGTTATTTTTTTAATGGAATACTCCTAGGCTTGCTTTCTGTGAGGCTGGATAGACTGCCTGTGCTGAAATAGATGCCCTCAGTTCTCAAAGGGTTTATCCTTGACTTAGGTGATTTTAGGACATTTGGCAAAGCTGATCCATTTCCTGGGGATAAAACATGGAGGCAAAATAAAGCTGGTGGAAAAGTGGTGCTAGAAAGATTTTTACCCCTAGTGATTACTGAGAACAATTAAGCATGTTCCCCAAGTGCAGATAAAGATCCACAAGCACTAAGCAAACTGATAAAAGAAAAAAAAAAAAAAAAAAAAAAAAAAAAACGACTTTAAAAAATCCTAAAGGGTGTTTTGAATCCCTCCGAGGGAAAACTTGTTCTCTAATGCTATTTATCCTCTGGTATCTGGTAAATAGTAATGAAAAATGAAATCCAAGCTAACTTCAGCTTTGGTTCTGTATCAGCAAAGAATACACAACAGGACACCCCATTACCCCCCCCCCCCCCCCCAGTTCTCCAATGACAGCAGTGTTGGTTTTGGCTCTGTGACTGTTAAAAGGTTTTTTTCCACACTGGACTTGGGCTTAACGTGTCTTGGGCTAAATTTTAAGTGCTAAGAGTAGAATTTACCTCTTTGCCTTTGGTATGGTAAATCTATGAATAGGAAACTATACTCTGTTTTTCCTCCCTTTCCTCCTATGCTATAAAATCAGCAGAAACATTGTTGCTGACTTCCCAGAAAGCAAGAGCGCCCTTTGTATGGATATAAGGATTTGCACCAAAGTAATTGATACCAATTATTAAATTAATAGATCTTTACAAAGACTTACCTAAAAGAACACTGTTTTAGAAATGTTTATGACATGAAATACTAAATAACTGTCGGTTTTGGCAAGAAAAAGAATTGGTTTGCAATTTTTCGTTGTAAGTTGTATCTCCAGAATTAAATTTATCACTAGCATAAGAAGTGTGTGTGACTTCACTGTCTTCAATGAAGCTGCATCTGTTTAGGTTAGGAGACAATTTAGGAGCCTGAAGTTAGAAATCAGAGGCTGGCTGGGCAGCTGACCAAAGCAATCTTGCTCTCAAACACTGAACGTGTGTAGCTCTCATCTGTAGCAGGAAGCGGATCAGCACCTAGGTGATAATACATATTTCTTCTGTTTAGGAATCCAAATAGCTTCAAAGTTTGGCCCCTTACTGAAAGAGCTACAAAGCTCCCTTCAAAATACATAAAACTATTTCTTCAAGTCTTTTCAGAGACAGAACTAGAGTAAATTAGAATTAGAGTAAACTTTTCAGATACAGAGCTAAAGTACTAACCTGTACATTTTCCTCTTCAGACTCCAAATACCAGATTCACAAATGAAACTACCCCAATGCTTTGGAAAAATAATCAAATGTTGCTATCTTGAGCTAATTAATAATCAACACAGAAAAATCCTGAAAGGCTGTGTTGATTTTGATTTAAGTAAGGAAGCACCTAGCTGACCATGCTTATGCAAAAATTGGTGATTTAAATTAGTCAGCATTTGTCCAGGTTACCATCTTGAGCCCAGAGAAAACTTACATGTAACCGATTTCCCTTCTTGCAACTCTGTCTTAAGAATATATCAAAATATGCCCGGTGGATCACTGAGGTACTGCTCCATTTATACCTGGTATCAATTACAACCAAAGTGGATTTGGTACCTTTTAGGATTCCGGGTGTAAATAGGAAGAAGTCATTGCAAGGTTGAGATTTTCTAATCTTTCAGAATACAGCAAATTAATTATTTGCAAGTCTTACTTTATTATTTCATCTTCCGTCTTACAATGCAAATTCAAAAGTAAACCTCCCTGTCAAGAAAATTAATGTTTAGCATTTATACAGTGTTTTATCAATTCAAACAAATGTGTAAGTATGTCAATCCTTCTACATACCCTGCTCTCTTTAGGATATTAAAAGATTGTAAGATTGCGCCATTGATATAATTCAATGGAATGACCTACCCCAATGCCAAAGACTAGCTATTTTGTTTTCTTCTTTGTTTCCCAAGCTATGCATGTACTGACTTCTGTGGGACAACATGTGCTTCACACTCAGCACAATGGGACCTCAGTTATGGTGTGGAAATGAAACCTCAAATTTTGACATTTGTGAAGCCACTTTGGACTTATACCAGCACACCTAAACTCAGAGCTGTCCTTCCATCTGCAGATATCTCTAGTCCTGGTGCGTCAAGGAGCCGACAAATGGACACCATGTCCAGCTGGATGCTTCCTGACTATTTGTAGGTGTAGCCTTGCTGAGCTAGGTCCCTGAAGGAACACTTCTGTCTTGAATGCACTCTGCAGTGCCAGGTACACTTTTCCACAAAGCCTCAGAACAGAAAATA